CCATTAACAGATCAGTTCGTAATCACGTAATCAGTTCTTAATTTGTAAAGAAAAGTTACTTTCCGTAGATGAGATTTCTTCTCAAGAAATATTGCTGAGAGAAGCAGCTGCAGCTAATTCGAAAAGTGGAGGGCAAGGCTTTACACTCTGTCATTGCAAAAAGAAGTGTTCCACGAATAAATGCAGTTGTAAAAGCGAGGGACTCTTGTTCAATTCAAAGTGCCATAACAGTTTATGTTGTTGCAATAAATAAGATTGTATAACGTTAATCACATAATTTATGTGTAAGTTTATTAATGTATTATTTTCTTTAATGATTAAGAATGTACTGTTCGTTTTATGTTCAACAGTTTATTTAAATGTGCTGTTACTTAAGCTTTCTCCTATTTTCACATATCAAAGAGTTGCATTTTTGTCTTAACGTAATAAAAATATTTTTATTCAACATTCACCATCAGTGCATGCTGAATGTCGACATTTGCCGATGTGAGAAATAATGATATTTATTTATTATCAAATTAGCAAATATTTCGTACACACACGAAACGACTGTGTAAATGCTGATATTCACCGGAGAATGTTGACATTCGCCAGATATCGTTCATTCGCAGTAACATACATGTTAATTCATTTTTACATAATAATATAACACATATTTTTATATATACTGTGAGGCCCACCATTTTCCCCTAAAATTTTTTTCTTGTTATTATATTTCTCCTTTATACATATATAGCCTATGTATATGTAAAGTTTTTTTTCCTGCCTTTTGATTTCTGTAGTTAACACGTGGTCCTTTCTTTTCTACCTTCTCGAAACTTCTGTTTCAGTGTTGCCAGATCTCGAAGCTTCTGTTCTGATGTGGCCCGATGTTTTTTCTTTTATAACCCACACCTATAACACAAGCACATACAGGTAACCCCCGTATAACACGGCATTTCTATAGCACGGATTCACTCTAACACGGTTCGAGAATTGGGAACATCTCCCGTATAACACGGTGCTTTTATAGCACGGGTTCACTGTAACACGGTTCGGAAATTGGGTAAAACCCTCGTTCAACATAAAATATAAAAGAACACACCTTTTATTACACCTCCGCGTAACTCCGTGCGAGCATTCTAATTGCTTTCGTGGCTACTTTGAATGCTCTTTCAACAAATAATCCATTTAATAGTGAAATGTTAAAATTGGGACCCTTCTTTTGCCTCTAAAAGCTCATTTTAGAATTATAGCTTCCTCCACCTGATACTATCGATAGTGAGGGCGCTGCCATCTTTCTTTCACCGTCGTTCCTAAATGCCTACAAACGGCAGCGCACTCCCGTTGCAGAGCGACCGTTATTAACGAACCCACCCACAAACTATTACCAGTTTATGATGCTCATGCTGAGATCATCATATAAAATGAATAATCCTCTGGTAAAATATTTTCTTAAATAATAAATAAGTATTTTACGTATGAAAAAAAGAATAATAAATCCGATTTAGATAAGGANGATTGACGTTTCGGATATTTGACTTTCGGAAAATCGACGCTCTACTGTATATATATTTGTTCTGTCTGGTTGTATATAGAACAACTGTTAGCTATCAGACAGGATGCTCTTAGGACTTACATCTCGAAGATGCGTAAGTAAACGTGACACCGAGATTGTTTATCTATCAACCAATGTCGTAAAGGAATTTCGCTTATTTTTCCGATTTTAGGGGCCTCCTTCCAAGTTTTCAGTAATATCGATTTAAAATAATCTAGAGAAATAAATTAGAATAAAAAATTTATCAATTAAATGTTATAAATCTCACAGTATGCAAAGGAAAAGATGAGGGTGATGCACGTGGTTTTCCCCTTTTTCGGTGGCGTTATATGACCGACAGTATCACATGGACTAGGGATTGTAAATTTACCGACTTTTTCATTTACCGGTAATTCGGTAAATGAAAATTAAAATACCGGTTTACCGGTAAATTACCGGTAAATTTTTTTCCTGAAAAATAAAATTAAGGTGATTAAAAAATATAAGTAATTTTGATTTTTATTTCACATTTTCTATTTCAAAGGTATAGAATATAAAAAAATATTAAAATTAAAGTGTTATTATAAACAAACTATAATAATAACTTTTAGAAACATAAATAAAATAATACAGAAAAATAAAAATAAAACAAAAATAATATATAGTACCTAATACCATTTTACTGATTACCATTTTTTAAAAAATAACTTCTCAAGAAACTTAAATTATTTAAAGTCTTATCTCCTAATTTTGATCTAATTTTTGTACAAAATAATCCGGGTTAGGTTAAGTTTCTAGACTTTTTCGGACATCATCTTTAAGTAATAAAAATCTTTCCAGCATGTTTAGTAAGCTATTCCACCGGGTTCTACAATCTAAAATTAAAGAAAGTTCTTTTCGTGAGAGTAATGGGGATTCCCCACGAAAATAAGGTTAGAATAATACATATTTTGCACAATCGTAAGGCATAATGTTAGAATCTTGTAATAAATATTTGTATTTAATTATTTTAAACAGTTGTTAGAAGTAAAAAATTTATTTAAGGTACAAATTTTAATGTTATTTTGCAATAATATTGCTTTAATGTCCTGTCATAATGTGGTGTATTCAAAATTGCTATTAATTTAAAGAGTACGTGAAATATTTACGTATTATTATTTTTAAATATTAAAAAAAGATATTTACTTAATCTTTAAGAAAAACGTTGATTGTAAAGATTTTAAACCTTTAAAAATCTCAAAAAACGGCAGAGCACAAATCACATATGCTAACTAGAGCTTTCTGTACAATTTACAGTGCCTCTCAAACCCAAGAAAGTTTAAATTAAAATTAAACAAAAAATATCTCACATAAAATTAATAATTAGGTATATTGTTGCTTACACTTATCTGTTTTTTTTCAATGTCCCTTTAGCCCTTTTAAATATCTATAAACACAATATTTTTTACATAAAAATTTCTAGTATAAATTTTTCATTTACCGAATTACCGAATTATTTTTGAAATTTACCGGTAATTCGGTAAATGAAAATTACCGGTAAATTTCAAAAATTTACCGGTAAGTTTACCGAATGTTTTTTTGGCAATTTATCGGTTAACCGGTAAATCGGTAAACCGGTATACAATCCCTAACATGGACGAACATCATTCTTCATTGACAAGACAGGAGAGACAACTATATTGACAAGAGAGGAGGAGGACAACTAGATGAATAATCATATAATTTACAAATTGCTTTGCCTTCCTCAGGAACTAAATCATGATTGGTTAAAAACAAAGAATAAAATAGAAAAAAGTGACGAAATTAAGAGAGTGAGACATGATTAAGAGACTGACTGGCTGTATAGGGGATTGACAGGGCAAGAGCCAACCGACCTAGTAAAGGACCAAGCAAAGGAGAAAAAAAGTCAAAAAGAAGTAGAGAACAGAAAGAGAAAGTAAAGACAGATGAGAAGACAACTTTTTTTCCTGGTATGTTGTGTGTCGCGCAGTTCGGATACCCCCGTTAGGAACCCCGTCGTTTTATAGATAGAAGTAGGCCAACTTCCTAAATCGGATTTTATAATCTTGTTCAGAACTTTGTTTTTTGATAATAAGCTCTTGTTATTTGTACTTGACTCTGCATTCACCCATTTGAGAGGCTTATTCCCGGACTTCGGGGTGACTTTTACCCTTGCGCCTTAACTACAGTATTTGTTTTTTTATATAAATCGGAGATGTGTCTGACAGAATACACCTGGTGGCAAGACCCTAACCTAAACTTGCATAATCTAATTTCTGACGGCCCCCTGACCCCCACAATACAATAATTAGTAATTCACAGGCTAATTGATTCCATCATTAAAATACCACAACTTTCCGTACTTATATCTATTTTGTTCCTTGCTTTTTTTTCGTATGTAGTTTATCTTACATATATCGTTACACTTTAAGGTATTTTTCCTTAAAAGTAATTGGAATTATTTATCAATAGATACATAAATTATATTTAAGTGTTTAATAAGTAATCACAAATTTTAGGAGTAAACGCTATTACTATTGATGGAATCATAACATAGAAATATAGGCTATATATTTGTGATTTGACATGATTAGAAACATATTGCAAATGAATTACAACCTTAGGGTAATACAGTAGGTAAATTTGTTTTAAAAAATTTTATTGAATATAATTTTATATATCTAAACAATTTCTATTAATTTTAGGGGAAATGCCTTAAATAGTTACGATATAGGCTATGAAAGATAAACCACATACGAAAAACATACTCAAGGAACAAAATTCACATAAGCACGAAAAGTTGTGGCATTTTAATTATGGAATTAATGAGACTGTGAATAAATATTCACTAACTACTGTATGTATGAAAGTATAAATGTTATGTTATTATGTAATGGACCTATAATACTATACATATAAAAGTGAAATAATACGTATAAAAAAGGAAATGTGAAATCAAGATATTTAATATATAGTGGCTAATTGTCTATATTGGCTAATTAATATATAGTCGACAGCTAATTGTCTGTTCATATGATATGTTTAAGTTTGGTTACGTAATGGTAAATAATTGGTTTTAAACAAATAGATGTCATACTGTTGTAGGAGTCTTCTTATACAATCTTTCAGAAAATAAATGTACATTGAAAATTGTAACTGAAGATTGTCGAAAATGTTTTGACCGAAATGCATTTTACTACAGACCTAAAAAATGTCCTGTATATATCTTATAATTATAGACTAACATGATAAATGCTAAATAGCTCAATGTGTGATAAGCTCTATAAATGATAAAATTTTAAAAATAACTGTATAATTACTAATAAGAGAGCAAGAACCTACTTGTAATAATAACTGAGTATTATTTTATTTTAACGCGAGGAAAAAGTGGCGGTAATGACAACTCCAATCCTAAAGTGTTAGTCAAGCAAATACTCTCTCTTATTAAAATGCATTAATACTACATTTATTTTCTCTTTTACAGATGAAAATTTTATACGGAGCCAGTTTTGAAACAGTTCAAGTCATCAAGTGCAAGTCAGTCTTATTTCAATTTTATGTATTATATAGCCTATAATAGATTTAAATGATATTTTCTTTCAAAGTAGGAAAAATTTTAAATCAAATTTTCGGCGCTTTCATACGAAAACGAATCTGTCGTCTGAACTTTTACTTTGATAGCTACTAAAGCCACTTTTACATAAAATTTAATAGATCTGGTGTAAAAATGAATACAGAGTGTTGAAGAAACGTTTGTACAATTGTCGCAGGCTTTTAGAAACCTGAATGAAAAATTCAAGGATCAGTTTTTGATTAAATTTAATTAGCAATTATTAACCATCAATGTACAGTAACGTCAATTTCATTTTTGAAGTATAACTATGTAATGTATCAATAATATCACTTTATCTGTGAAAAACACGATCGTGAGAAAACGTGAATTATTAATTCTCCTTCATTAAACATTTGACAAAATTGTATTCGTGGCACAAGTGCCTGCAATCACTCTAAACCGTGTCGATACAATTAGTATTCACGAAGAATACGCTTTACATTTGTATTAGTAGCTACCGCTACTAATACAAATGTAAAGCGTATTCGTTGTTCCAGCTATTTGTCTAGTACTCGTTGTAGAATCCTTACCAATTTTAGCAATAACTTCTCTATTTCTGGTGTTCTTGCGATTTCAACTCTTCCTCTATCGAAAATGACCATTAAAAGTGTCATCGTCTAATGGAGACTCTGAGTACAGGCTGGCATATTTATTAAATTAAATTAACTTAAAATAAATTGATTAAATGATCAGCTTTTTAATACGAAAAAATTGTGGTTAGTGTATTTAAGTAATGAAACATTACACATTACATAGTTATACAGTTATTATAAAACAAAATTGACGTCACTTCATTTTTTATGCTCGTAAATTAAACATCACGGTCAAAAAAAGCCCTCGTCTTTTTATTTGCGTTTTTTCTCCAAGCATTTGAAATTTGGTCAAACATTTCTGAAGTACCTTGTATATTAATATGGAAAAATTTTAGAATGAATGAAAATTTAAGCAGATAAGATAAATAGTCGTTCAGCCAGTTCCCTGTACTTTTTTTTAAACTAGCTACAAACAAATGGTCAAATTCATGGTTTTAAACAAAGTATTTTATTGGATGGAAAAAAAATCATTTCGAACATCAGCATTGTTCAGTTTCAAAACGTTCTATGAAGAAAGGATGATCTGGAATGAGCTGAGTGTAAAACCAGTCTTTGCATTTGTGATTTCTGTCAGAACTAATGCTTTAGTCATTACTTCGAGCCTGATTCTCTTACGTGTTAGTTAGTTTATCTGTTATTTGAAATTTTGATATAATGCTTCCTCACTGCTTTTTATTTCTATTTTGAACCTTATTACTTGTCAGTCTTATTACCTATTACTTATTGTTCTAATTTAATAAAACTTCAATTTAATTGAGTTCAATAATATGCTAATATTGTAGCCTTTCATTTTATTGAAACGATATAATTTATAGACCAATATAACTTATATTAATTCATTTTCTTATATGGCTATAATGACAAACAATATCAAGGTACTGTACCAGTAACTGACAATGATTTCATGAATCCTGTTAAAGATTTTTAAACAATTCAGAATCTGTCTAAATTACTATTGACTGTTCGCATGCCAATTTTGCAAGAAATTCGGGGAAAAATTAATGAGGAGTCACGAAAGGATTGTAACTCTCATCGTCCAAGATTAATCAAGTTTAAAAGGAGTTTCTGGTTGCTTTGAAGAGAGTGAATAATTGCTACTGTTGGCACCGTTCTTGACCTAGATTCATTTGTAGTACACTTTTGCCTTTTCATTAGTTCTTTAATGTCTTATTACATTATTTACATTTTCTTTTTCATTGCTTTATTTAATATCCTGCATCTTTTCGCTAACGAGTTAAAACTGAGACCAACTACAGTAGAGCGTCGTTTGTCCGAATCAATTGGGGACTGGGGTGGTTCGGATAACTTATTTTTCGGATAACGAATCATGTACGAAAAAATATATTAATGTATCCCATGTTAAAATTTTTCTCTGTTGCGTGTCGCTTCGCGTTGAATTTTCGTCTATGTTAAGCCTAACGAAGACTATTGTATCGTTAAAAATTATTTTTTTATTTTGTACAAACAAAATAGATATATTGAAAAATATAAAAACAATAAAAAATTATACTTCAGATGTTAATTTAGTATCAAAAACGTAAAATATTTCAGTAACCCAAGAAATAGCCGAAGATTGCAGCGCCACTAGCGAAAATTTAAATTTGCCGACTGGAATGCTTTCGGATAACAGACGTTTCGGATAACCAGCTTTCGGATAAACGACGCTCTACTGTATTATATTGAGGGCATACTTCGAGATTCATTTGTCTTTATCGTCTAGTTGTACCTGTACATTGGATCAACCCACACCTGACATTCCCATACTTTCACAATCTTTTTTTAAATTTATCCAGTAAATCCTCCTCCATTTTAAACCATAAGTAACAAATACCTAACTATATCTGAATTTCTTTATGTCCGAATAAAGCTCTCAATATAATCTCCATTTTTCAAATACTGTTTCTCCAATCATTGTGATAATTCTTAAGAAATAACTCATAATTATCAACTGATACCAATTATCAGTTGAAAACAGACAAGTTTCTTGTTCTAATTAGATTTATTTTATTCTAGCGTATGCGTCAAAATGCAAGATAAACGTTAAATATGGGCCTATATATAAAGGTATTCATCGAGTAACACGTCAGTTACGTTCCGAAAAAGTGTCGTATTATGCGTGCTATACGACTAATGTAAAACAAGGTTACGTTCCAGAAGTTAGCAAAGCATACGATCCTTTTTTGTTACCAAGAAAAATATGTTTATTAAAGCAATCGATAATTTATTTCCAATTAATAATTAATTAACGACGAGCAATTATTTCTTGAATTTGCTTCATGTCCGGTAGTTGTCTATTAGTTTTATTAACGGCCATCAATATCGGTTGTAAATACTAGACTTATTATTTATACACAGAATAGGAAATATAGCCCAATTAGAAAATCATCAACGTTTATTCGTTTATATTAAGTGGGGAGTACATTTTGGACATTCTTGTCCCTCATAAGCTCATAAAGTTAGGCTATACATTGTAAGTAATTGTGCATCTTTTAGACACATGAATATATACACATAGATAAGAATTTCACTTACACATTTTGATGATGATTACCTTATCCATTTTTGAAAAACCGTTAACTTTTTAACCAGACAACTACAGAGTCAACACCACTAGAACCACATTTTTCACTTTCAACCATCTCGAGTTCTGAAGTACATTTTTTTCTTTCTTTCTATGGTTCATATGGAGACTACAGCCACTCCAAAGTACATTTTACATTTCCACTCCCTTTCTTTGTTTTTACATTCAGTTGTATGTCCCCCTTTAGTGTTTAAAATAGATTATGAAGTACAGTACTTGTACAGTAATTGCAAACCTTTATTATTAGTAATTTATTTTTTGTTTGTTTCTTTTAACTTTATAATTTCTACATGTTTATAAAGTTTTTTAAAACCAATTTTTGTTTTTAATTATATTGACGAAATCTTTATCAATTTCGAAATTGTTATGCAACTGCGGGGGATTCCTTATTATACTTTATTGCAGCAATGTGTTCTTTTATTTTAATTTTGAATTCCCTACTACATACATATATGCATTATCATAATTACAGTTAAATTTATAGACATTTTTCTCTTTCCAAATGTTCAAATTATTTTGTTTTTATTTAAAATTAATATGCCTAGAGTGTTCGTCTGTATTATCGTTATTTGATATTTTTAATTTTTTTTTTTTTTTTTTNAACTTTCTAATATTTTATTTTTATAAATTGGGATTGGTTGGGAGTATTGGTAACATTTATTTTATTTTGATCTATGTTGGATAACCATCTTTTTTTGTTTTTTTTTATTGTAACCATTTATTTAAAATGCTTTTATTATTTCATTTATTTCTGTTTCTTGATCACTAAGGGATGTTGTTCTATTTTTTATTTTATCTATGTGCATAGGAAACACATTCTCTTTTATATATTGTTCATGAGTACTTCCGATTCATAATCATTGGGACTAACTATGTTCTTATATATTTTTTAATTTTAAAATAATTATGATTATTTAGTCTTATTATTATTTGAGCGAGGGATACTTGTACTAATATTAGGACCAATATGATATGCAAAAAATATAAATACATAGTACTGCATTTACAATGTGATGAAATGTTCAAAACTTCCTTGAAAATTAGAGCTAACAAATGGAAATAGCCTATCTAAACTGTTTTTAAGTTAACCGTTAGTCAACTAATTTTTTTCCCCTAGACAATCACAGCAAGTAATTTTCGGAAAGATTAATTTTCCAATTTAAATTTGTTAACCGTTGAAATTGTGTCAACAAATGAAAAGCACAATTTCAATTTCGAACGTAAAATGGACGGGAATCGAAGGAAATTCAGTTAGAAATCATTTAACTGTTGATATTGGAAATTAGATTTAAAATATATATTACAAGTAAATGAAATTCTTTCACAGTTCCAATATCCGTTGGCATTGGACCGCAAAATTAATTAATTAATTACGAACCAAAATGAATGCGAAAATATTTGTGGTAGCACAGCTAAATATGAACTAAGAAATTCAGAAAGGTATTTAGGAGATGGAAGTAAACTAGTATGATATTTTAGACGTATTTTAGAATATTATTATTATTATTATTATTATATTTTATGAAAGTGACGATTCTATTTCTTCCGTTAGGAAGTTGTAATAATTAGTAGATTTCGTTTTTGAAACAAGATGCAGGGTGATTATAAATACCGGTATATGCGAAAAATTTTCAGGGGCTGATTATTCGAATAATTTTAATCACAGAAGTGCTTATGAACATATGTTTGACATTATTGTAATAACTGTTGAAAGTGACCACCGCCAACTGTAACACGGGAGCCTATCCTTTGCCGCGTTAATTGGCGCGCATGTTGACAAATACAAGGGCGTGAAGTATTGTTTCACAGGATGCAGGCAATGCGATTTCTTAATTAGTCAACATTTTCAATGGGACTACACAGTAAAGATTCTGTAACTTTAAAACTGCCGTTTTGAACACATGTTCATGTGCACTTTTACGGCTGATTCTTCGAATAATTTCAGCCTTAAAGAGAATTGAAATTTTTCATATATATTTAGAACTAGCAGACCCCGCCACGCCTTGTTGTGGCTCAAAATGTATCTATTATAAATGTATAACACTTCCCCAGTGGGGGAAAATTTTTCGAAAAATTTTTTCTTAGTGTACATTCTGTTGACGTACCCTATTAAAACGCAATCAAANTAAGTTAACCGTTAGTCAACTAATTTTTTTCCCCTAGACAATCACAGCAAGTAATTTTCGGAAAGATTAATTTTCCAATTTAAATTTGTTAACCGTTGAAATTGTGTCAACAAATGAAAAGCACAATTTCAATTTCGAACGTAAAATGGACGGGAATCGAAGGAAATTCAGTTAGAAATCATTTAACTGTTGATATTGGAAATTAGATTTAAAATATATATTACAAGTAAATGAAATTCTTTCACAGTTCCAATATCCGTTGGCATTGGACCGCAAAATTAATTAATTAATTACGAACCAAAATGAATGCGAAAATATTTGTGGTAGCACAGCTAAATATGAACTAAGAAATTCAGAAAGGTATTTAGGAGATGGAAGTAAACTAGTATGATATTTTAGACGTATTTATGAATATTATTATTATTATTATTATTATATTTTATGAAAGTGACGATTCTATTTCTTCCGTTAGGAAGTTGTAATAATTAGTAGATTTCGTTTTTGAAACAAGATGCAGGGTGATTATAAATACCGGTATATGCGAAAAATTTTCAGGGGCTGATTATTCGAATAATTTTAATCACAGAAGTGCTTATGAACATATGTTTGACATTATTGTAATAACTGTTGAAAGTGACCACCTTCAACTGTAACACGGGAGCCTATCCTTTGCCGCGTTAATTGGCGCGCATGTTGACAAATACAAGGGCGTGAAGTATTGTTTCACAGGATGCAGGCAATGCGATTTCTTAATTAGTCAACATTTTCAATGGGACTACACAGTAAAGATTCTGTAACTTTAAAACTGCCGTTTTGAACACATGTTCATGTGCACTTTTACGGCTGATTCTTCGAATAATTTCAGCCTTAAAGAGAATTGAAATTTTTCATATATATTTAGAATTACCCGATATATGTTACTATTTTAATATTATTATTTCCTCTACTTTTTATTTTTAAAATTTTTATTTTACTTTATAGTCCGAAGGATAATGATGTTGCATGTGATGTAATAATGATATTTAAAGAAGAATTTAAAGGTTACGAAAGAATAAATAAAGGCGACTCGTGTTATCCAGCTGAAAATGCTAACTATTGTCTTCTTCATCCTAATTTGATCCTTTCAATAAATGATCTACAAACTGGTATAATTTTAATTAATATTTCATCAATAAGCTTAATATTACTTATTTCATAATGGAATTTTCAATTTTAGCGGAAATAGTCGAATTTGATAATTGCGACGATCGAATAAGAGAAAGCTTTTGCCCAGGAGTAGCGAATAATTGTACAAGCAAGCATCCAGGCTATGATTGTTTATGTAATAAAGGCTTTAAGGCAATACAGACATTTTACAAACCCGGTACTGAGTACCAGTATTGTGAAGGTAAAACTTTTATTTATCTGTTTGCTGTCCAATTTTAAAAATACATAGAACGTAATAATTAAATTTTTACAGATATTGATGAATGCCTTAATGCAAATATTTGTGGGAGTAATTCGAACTGCATTAATACTGTTGGAAATTTTACATGTTCCTGTAGAGATGGATATGTACCAAACAAGAATAAAAATGAATTCGAATGCGGAGGTATTATGAGATTTAATTATTTAACAAATAATTTATATGGATTGAAATGAAATTAATGTTATTTGTAAATTTTATCATATATAGATATTTGTGAACTAGAAAAACCATGCAAAAATGGGAAATGTAGCCGTTTACAAAATCGACAACAATATAAATGCCAGTAAGTACAAATGGACATAAAATTTAAAGCAACGTTTCAAAAGGATTTATATCTTTTATTAACTGATAGTTTCAACATTAGTTTTATTCTACCTATTCGAAGTTTTACTATTTTATAAGCATTTACTATATATTTGAACATAGTTACATTATCCCTATTAAATTTTAATAGATGTGACAGTGGATTTACTGGATTAAATTGCGATGAAGAAGATAAGACGTTGAAAAGTAGGTATAATTTAATATAGCGATTTTTAGCATGTACAAAAGTAGAAAATAATTTTTTTTTGTGTAAACGAGTTAACTATTGTCTTTACAGAAGGAAAAGTTAATACGATTATCACAGGAGCTGTCTTGGGTGGTATTTTGCTTATTGCTATCATTATTATTTTCGTACTTGAAAGAAAGTAAGTACTGTAAGTTATTTAAATTACTAGTAAATTAGTAAACATTTTAATTTGAAATTAATTTTTAGACTAAGAAAAAAGTCTAAAAGTGCTGAGGGTTTTGACACGCAAATGGACAATTACGAAAGAAGATTTGGTGACAGCAGGCCTGTTGTAAGGAAACATTTACGTAATACTATAAACAATTAGAGATATTGCATTATCAGATAAGTACCGCCGCAGTATTTATAGTTTTATTTTATGCGAAACTGAAAGTCAGAAAAATTATGACTGCTAGAATAATTATTTGCAGTAGTAATTTTACTTGATTATCACAGTTATTGTATCTACACTTAATAGTATTACCTATGAAAATGCAGCGTTTGGTAGACTTCACTCTAATCTAAAATGAAAAAATGTGAATATAACTATTTACTAGTAATTAGCCACTAATTTTCAAAACTGATTACTTTCGAGCATCGAAATAGAATGATCTGAATAGTGATTTCTTATTTTTATACAGGGTTTTTTGTAAGTCACGTGCCATAAAATATTATGCGGGGAAGCATTAGGAGATTATGGGCAAAGCATCAGGAGTAAATGTATAGTGTAGTGGTTATATAATGCATCATTTTGGGTCTGTGATATTATGAAACGGAAATTAAATGCACAAAATGTGGCCCAACTGCATAGTTCTGTTACTCACAACTAGGCATGTTGTAAGGATTGAACTTGTTCTATTTAATACACGGAACATTTCTACTTTTTAATTATTGTTATGTTTAATTTATTTAGATGAAACTAAACATAATAATAAAAAAGCTGTAATGTCGCATGTTCTTGCTGTTGTCTACATATAGATTATTAAAAACAGACAAGTAAGATTCTCGTAATATACCGGTTACTTAAAAAACTATACTACCGGTTACTTAAAAAACTATGTAGTTAGGCCTTAATTAGTTGAAAATGATTCATGACTTATGAATTTTGTACATTTAATATCTGTTTTACAGAGCCGAAATGATACATCATATAATCACTACACTATACACTTGCGTCTGATGCTTTGTCTATTAACTTCTATTAATACTAGAAATTTCCTGTTAAGCATAACGGAATACTATTTATGAGAAAGTAGAGATTGAACAATTTAGATGGTTTCCTTGCTTTCTTCCTTTAGTAATAGTTAGCTTAATTAATATTGTTTCGGTTTCTTGAACCCGATAAAGCAGCATAGCGTTGACCAAACTTATTGTTACACTTTCCCCTAGGCAATTTCTTTTGAAAAAATAGTGAGTCTTTTTAATTCTACGTTGATAAAACAAAGATGAATTGTATGTACCGGAACGTTAGTTAGATGTGCGATAACACGTCATAAATAACGGGCTCGTTAAGTCGTTACTTTTGATTGAATAATAGAACATCACGTGGTCACTAAAAATAGATTTTTTTAAAGAAATGACCTGACACAGCTATCATTTTTAAAGTTTAAATTTGATGACGTTTAAAGTACGCTATTTGCCAAAACATTTAAAAATGTAACTTAAGGGAAATTCCCTCGTAGAGCTTGAATGTTACGTGGTCACTGAGGTCACTGACAACAGTTTCATCACCGATCCGAAATCGATAAAACGTTTATTCTATAGCTAATGTTTTCGCAAAATAAATAGTTTATACCTTCCGTCAGAACATAACTGGAACCTAACCAAAATTTTATCTGGAATGGACAAAAATTTGCAGGAGTTATAAGGAATTCACACACACAAACACAGACAACAGCTATTATATCTTCTATGGCACGTGAATTATAAAATATACCGTAGTTTTACATTGCTAACATTTACAAAGTATGAATGATTGGAATTTTAAAAATTTATTTTAGAATTCAGTGTAAATGTGATTTTGAATTCTAAAGTTTAGTTTTAATAACTGTAAACAAACTTATCTTTTCGTTCTTTAATTTATTTATCGTATCATGTTGACCTTATTTCACAAGAAAATTGTATAGTATAGCTGTTTTCTAATAACAGTTTATGATAAGATATAATTAATTTTAAAATCATTGTTACTTTCACTTTTGAAAAATAAGAGTTTGAATTGCTCGTTATAAACAGAGATATTCTCCCAATAATTTTTTTTAGTTTAAGAATTGTTGCTTATTATTTTTAAATCAAACGGTTTAATTTTATAATTACAATTTTTTGTTTTCAATGCTAATTATTCAGGGTTCGCTCTGGAAATTTTAAAATTAACGCCACCATTTCGCCAGTTTTTAATTTTTTTTCGTCACTTCAAATTATTTATCGCCACCAATTTTTAAATCAAACGGTTTAATTTTATAATTACAATTTTTTGTTTTCAATGCTAATTATTCAGGGTTCGCTCTGGAAATTTTAAAATTAACGCCACCATTTCGCCAGTTTTTAATTTTTTTTCGTCACTTCAAATTATTTATCGCCACCAATTTTTAAATCAAACGGTTTAATTTTATAATTACAATTTTTTGTTTTCAATGCTAATTATTCAGGGTTCGCTCTGGAAATTTTAAATTTAACGCCACCATTTCGCCAGTTTTTAATTTTTTTTCGTCACTTCAAATTATTTATCGCCACCAATTTTTAAATCAAACGGTTTAATTTTATAATTACAATTTTTTGTTTTCAATGCTAATTATTCAGGGTTCGCTCTGGAAATTTTAAATTTAACGCCACCATTTCGCCAGTTTTTAATTTTTTTTCGTCACTTCAAATTATTTATCGCCACCAATTTTTAAATCAAACGGTTTAATTTTATAATTACAATTTTTTGTTTTCAATGCTAATTATTCAGGGTTCGCTCTGGAAATTTTAAATTTAACGCCACCATTTCGCCAGTTTTTAATTTTTTTTCGTCACTTCAAATTATTTATCGCCACCAATTTTTAAATCAAACGGTTTAATTTTATAATTACAATTTTTTGTTTTCAATGCTAATTATTCAGGGTTCGCTCTGGAAATTTTAAATTTAACGCCACCATTTCGCCAGTTTTTAATTTTTTTTCGTCACTTCAAATTATTTATCGCCACCAATTTTTAAATCAAACGGTTTAATTTTATAATTACAATTTTTTGTTTTCAATGCTAATTATTCAGGGTTCGCTCTGGAAATTTTAAAATTAACGCCACCATTTCGCCAGTTTTTAATTTTTTTTCGTCACTTCAAATTATTTATCGCCACCAATTTTTAAATCAAACGGTTTAATTTTATAATTACAATTTTTTGTTTTCAATGCTACAATGTTTGCAATTCAGGGTTCGCTCTGGAAATTTTAAAATTAACGCCACCATTTCGCCAGTTTTTAATTTTTTTTCGTCACTTCAAATTATTTATCGCCACCAGTTTTACTTACTAATGCAGGTGCTGGTAGCCTTATCAGTTTATAGTGCTGGTAGCCTTATCAGTGGAGAGCAAAAATCAGTTTGACGTCTGGACCTTCGTATTTACCAACTCGAGTTAGAGTTAGGGTTAAATCTCGAGTTAACCAAAGACCGTTTGCTTTACTTTGAGCACGTGAACGCTCATTGATTTACTTTTAACTCTAACTCTAACTGGTGTTGGTGAATACGGGGGTTAAACTATTGCTTACAAGGAGAAGACCAGATGTTCGGGTCTTCAATTCGAACGGAACTTTGGTGAGCACAAGCAGCTCCTTGTCCAAGTAACAGGATCTACTTTTCAAGAGTTTCCAAAAATTGGGCTTCTGAAAATTTAGGGTTTAGCTTATAAGTGTTTGGAAGTTTCATATACGAGAATGACGATAGCTGAGTCAACAAATCTACAGAGGCTTTTTTTCGCTAAACCGGGAATGTCGTCACAAGTTTTAATCTCGTTTTAAACTTCTTGAATAATAATAGTGATAATAATACCGATAATAATAACAATGCTGTGGTAAAATAATAAAATAATAATGTTACTAATAAAAAACAAAACTAATTCGATAAATCTGATATGACAATATTTCCTAATTGTTTTTAACTGTGTTGTTGAATATGGGATGAATATAATATTAAATTCTATATTTTTTATTTAGTATGAAAACATACATAAAGGAAGAAAACAGGGATATGATAACCCAGCAATGTGATATATCACAATGTGATAATATTTTGTAAATTATCTTCAGCAAATTGATTTGATGATATCTATTACCAAGTGAAATGAATATTTTTAATAATATTTTTATTTGTAAGATGTTGCAGAATGTAAAATATTCTGAAAATATAAATAAATATTTTTCGTAATATTAAATATTTTTTGTAAAATATTTATTATTAAATTGTTTATTGTATGAACCTTAGCTTATTAAAAGGGGGTAAAAGTATAACATAAAACAAAAATTAGTTCAATTTAACAAATTAATATAATAGCTTAGTACAAGATAATACAGTACATAATAAAATACACAATAACAACCAATTTTTGAAAAATTCGATAAATTAATTGTATCTTTCTAAGACTTAAATCTGGTCAAATGTTTTTTCCTGCTTGCTTTAAATTTCACACAATTCAAAGTATATTTTCTCAAGTTTTATACACTTGGAAACATGCACTTTTTCAAATTCAAATTTTACAAATTCTTTCAGAATCTATTCTTAGACCACTATTAGAGTCAGAATATATTTTTATTATATCTCAGTTGTAGGACTAATAGTCTTATTGAATAATTTATGTCTATATACAGATAATTTTTCACAAATAGAAGTTAATACTAGTTTTAATATTACGATGTAATTGAAAATACGTATTGAACAAGGACCAATCCTATTGTATGCATTTTTGAACAGACCAATCTTAATGTATGCATTTTTGAACAAAGATCAATTTATTGTATGCATGGTTCACAGCACATTTTCAAAGTTAACGACTGATAACTTTCAATCAGGTTAAAATCTTGAGACAGCCATAAAAAGGAAAAATAATGTCGATCGAAAGAAATCAACGCCAAAGTCCAATTGTATGTATAATTGTCCATTTTTAAACTAATTTATAGAGTTTTTATACGCTAATTTAACATAACTTTTATTATTTAATTTCAAGTCTAATTCAAATTAAAATTATTATTTTTATTACAATTTCCGACATTCTAGAAACGTCAAACTCCAAACTCATATAACATAAAAACTTTTCGAAGATATACAGCAGAGGTCGCCAAACTACGGCCCGCTAAGTCAGTTAATCCGGCTCGCTGCCGCACTGTGTCACAAATCAGATAGAGTAATTACTGATAAGGAAATATCATAGTTTGTATATGAACTTACTATGTATAAAAAATTAAAATAAGTGTAAGTATAAATGCCAGAAGTGGTCCAATCTGATTTTTGCATCTGACACTAATATAATTATTAGGAAAATCAGCGAAATAAAAAATTTGGCCACTTGTTGCTACTTTGGATATCAGAGCGCTTTTTGTGTAAGTACCTGCAATAAATTTGCTAANATGCATGGTTCACAGCACATTTTTAAAGTTAACTATTGATAACTTTCAATCAGTTTAGGATCTTGAGACAGCCATAATAAGGAAAAACAATGTCGATTGAAACAAATCAACGCCAAAGTCCAATTGTATGTATAATTGTCCATTTTTTAAACTAATTTATAGAGTTTTTATACGCTAATTTAACATAACTTTTATTAATTAATTTCAAGTCTAATCCAAATTGAAATTATTATTTTTATTACAATTTCCGATATTCTAGAAACGTCAAACTCCAGACTCATATAACACAAAAAGTTTTCGAAGATATACAGCAGAGGTCATCAAACTACGGCCCGCTAAGTCAGTTAATCCGGCCCGCTGCCGCACTGTGTCACAAATGAGATAGAGTAATTACTTATAAGGAAATATCATAGTTTGTATATGAACTTACTATGTATAAAAGATTAAAATAAGTTTAAGTATAAATGCCAGAAGTGGTCCAATCTGATTTTTGCATCTTACACTAATATAATTATGAGGAAAATCAGCGAAATAAAAAATTTGGCCACTCTTTGCTACTTTGGATATCAGAGCGCTTTTTGTGTAAGTACCTGCAATGAATTTTCTAACAAAAGCGATTACGAGCTTGCTACAGCGATCGTGTTTCTGTGTTTGTAAATAAATGTGTTGATTGTCTTTTTTTTTCTGTATTCAGTGTGCTGTATTGAACAAAATAGTTATGTGGCCCGCGCTCGTCATTCTCTCAGTTATTTCGTCCGCTGTGAAAAATGTTTTATTACCCCTAATATAGAGCAAAAACTATTTCTATTTTACCATAATAAGTAATTGCCCATATACAGACAATTTTCAATTCAATTTAATTCAATTCTTATCTAATGAAAATAGAAAGTTTATCCCCAGTACCGCATAGAATAATTTCGGTATCACAGTAACATAATATAAGTTATTTATGGTTACATGAAAAATACAGAAAACATACCATAAGGCTATGAGGCTATGTAGTTGGTTTGAAAGAAAAGAAAACCCGGTATGTGTTTTATGTAGCCTATATGTTTGCATAACAAGAGTTCAATTAACAATTCTATTAGACATTATATTAAAGCAGTACAACACACAATATTTAAAACACATTACAAACGGATGCACAGTACTGTACAATATATATGTTACTGTGAAAGACCGAAATTAGAGAATGAAGATTAAATCCATGCTTCCCACAAGTGTTGCCACCTTTTCCCAATCGCTGACCCGGACAGCAGGTCAGGTTTCTTCGAACAGAAATTCCTGACGCATGTGCAATGTCATTTTACAATGCGAAGAATAACGTTCATGCTCGTTCTAAATCAGTTACAGTTAGAGACTAGGGACTTACGTAGGAGTAACGTAAGTAACCTAAATTAAGAAAAAACAGGTACAGATAACTTAGCTTGTAGACGTGTACGATCGTACACGCAGGAAAAAAAAGGTCGACATGTTGCGCGCCTCACGTTGACGTAATCAGATTATCATTATCATGGTAGAATTGCAGATGTGTTTCAGGTTTCAGTGAGTGTGAGTTCTTTCGTTGTTAAAATAGTGTAAATTTGTAAAAATATTTGCAAGAACTTTGTTTCATCGTAATTTCACGATTTCTACAAAATTCCCGGACAAAATTAATAGTTCACCTGGACAGCGAGTCAATTCCCGGACTGTCTGCGTGAAAACCGGACAGGTTTTCACGCAAACAAGAAATTTTTCTAATAGAATTAAAATCTTCCAATATTGTAAGAATTTTTCAGAAGAAGAAATCCTTCAGCAAAAGGCTTTAAATATTCTGTTCTAATATAATCAATTCCAGGTGGAGTACCAGATTTTAAGTGGTTAATTGCTCCTTTTACCTTTTCCACTGAAAAATCTGTAAAACATTCTGTTCCTATTGAAAACCCTTTATGCAAATACATCGACGACTGTTCATCATTAATGTGTAAAGAATGTTCTATATAAAATTTAGCAGCATAAAAATTGAACTATGTTTCCAAGGGAATTCTTAAACTATGATTCGATGAATTTTTATGTTTAAAGCTATGAATTACTTGCCAAATATTTTATTTATTGGATGTTATCAATTTTTTTATTTAAGTTTTAAAAGTAATACTGTACTGTTTTTTGACATAATAGTTTATACTGTTTTAAATAATTTCTATACAAAACATAATACTTATCCGTATTTAGTTTATTCGCTTTTTTAAACAATTTTCATAGATGTTTTTTTTTTCACGGTGCAACATCATGAAAAAACTATCATACCACGCATTTGTTTAACACCTTTTGCTATGTACAGATTTAACATCAACATCACAAATTTAGAGACATTGCCGCCTTAACCACACATTCCACTATACCATTGGATGCGAGATTTCCTCCATACTCGTCTAATAAAACGTTATCCAACGTAACAGCAAATGCAGATTTAAATTCATCCCTCCATATTGAACATATACGAAAAAATTGTCTTCTAAGAACTGTAAATGATATCAACGGTATTATTGAAAAAAGAATAGGTGAGTGATCAGAGCCTATCTCTAATAAAATATATACATCACTTACAATATGAGAATATATTTCTTGTGACACTATCACGAAAGCAATTACGTTGCCTCCTGTAATTGCATAGTAAGTAAAGTTACCTTCTTTATTTCCTGGAAATTAACTATTTAAACAAGTAAGACGGTTATCCTCACAAAAATCATGAAGAATTTTTCGTATATTATTAACAGTAATATCATTTTAAACTCTCATAGCAATTTGCTGGTCACTAATAAAACATGACAAATTATCAGGATGTCCTACTCTAGCGTTATAATCTGCGCATAAAATGTAATTAGTTCCATGTATCAAGTAGTTTGCTATAAGCAACAAATCAACATCATAGTTATTATCAAGCGAGGGACAGTATTAGCTGCATATTGGTTAACTCCTCAGTATCTAGTTTTAAAATCAGTGCCAATGGTTCGGAAGTATGAATTTAACCGTAGAGACCACATCTAATCTGAGCCCGACGGTAAAATCTTCATTGGATCTTCCATGTCCCAAACAGGTATGAGATACTGCATGTAAAATAATAATAATAAATGTTATACTCGTCGGAGAACAGTGACTCAATTACCGAAGACATGTGTCATGCTTACACAATCGAAAATATACTTATTTTATATATCAAACTCCAGACGTTAGGGTAACAGTATTCATTATTTAAACCTGCAATATTAAAAAAAAGTTTTATATCAGGGGTGTCCAACCTTTTTGTTTCTCTGGGCCGCATTGGAAGAAGTCAAGGAGTTTTAGGCACAAGTATAGACCTATATAATATATAATTGTGGCCGAATACAGGGGAGACCGGGGCAAGATCGGCATGTTAAGCTTTACTTAAATTTTGTGTAATAAATACTGCTGTAAACTGAAAAAAAAGCTTTGCATATTGTCTATTGGAATGTTACCTTACTATAGAACTGGTTAAAATCAGTTTGGAAATAAAAATAATTAAAATAATTACAACTTTACAAGAAGAGAGAAATTGACGAAGTTGCCCCGGGTATAGGGGCAAGATCGGCAACTTCTCTCTTTTTGTAAAGTTGTAATTATTTTAATTATTTTTATTAAAGTTGCCCCTGGTATAGGGGCAACAGTAATGGGGCAAGATAGGCACGTATATAAAATTATGTTATTAACAATGTATAAGTTGGAATTCACTATTAAAACAAAGAAATACAAATCCAACACCCATTTA